CCATGATCTAGCCCAGAGACTAGGCTGGACAGAGTCTGCGCAACCATCTTTGGCTGTGACGGAACTTATCCGAGCAACGATTTAGTGCTTCCTCCCAATTCCAGCTCTTTGGTTCTTGTTCCCAACAAACTTCTGAAGCGGAGCGTGCTTAAAGGAGACTTTTATTGCCAAATCTCAAAGCTCTTTACAAGCAAAAGACAGCTTTGCCTTTCCACCTACCATGACAGCTGATTTTCAGATACATTCACTGCTGCTTGCAAGCACATTTACTTCCTTCCTGTCTGAAGCATGCCGCTCTGGCAGGCCTCGTACAAATCTGAAATTGAGTCATGCCCCATCTCGACATGCCCACAGAGTCTTCAGACATGAGAAAGCAAGCTTAGTGTAGCTGGGGAACTGGCTTTTACCTACCAATGGTGGTAGGTAAAAAGGCAGGAACTGTCCTGCAAGATCAACGTAATGCGCCTTCAACTCAGACCTGATTTTGAAAATGGCTAGTACTTGCTGTTTAAGAGGAAAGTGCAAGAAACACAGAAGATAGCTATGGAACAACCTGCCCTCCTTCATTAGGCAGATATTGGCTTTTGCCCTGAATAAGAACAACATGGGTGAAAACTTCAGAATTAAATGTTTGAAACAAGATAGATAGCTTTGTTTAGATTATAAAAGCCCAACTGAAAAATTCCAGGTGGAGTAATCACTTTCAAATGTTAACTGCTAAACCTATTGGGGAAAAAAATGCAAAGGGCTATTTTTTCTGAATTAACATAATATTTTCAGCCATAGAGACACTGGGGGTATGTCTAGACTGCATCCATCTGTCGGCAGAGAGATGCAAATTAGGCAGGTCGACATTGCAAATGAGGCAGAGATTTAAATATCCCGTGCCTAATTTGCATAAAAATGGCCACTGCGTTTTGCCAACTCAGCATTTTGTCGGCAAAAAGCAGCAGTCTAGAGGGGGATCTGTTGAGAAAGAAAGCCTTTTTCGACAGATCCCTTACGCCTCCTGCTGACAGAGGGATGCAGTCTAGACATACCCTGAGAGTTAAAAAGAGAGTTCTCTTAAGTTATACTTAATTACAAGACAGTACATAAAAGTAAGTGACATTAGTGCATACAATATTTAGCCTTGGCTTGTAAAAAGATTTTGCTCTCTCATCTCCTGATTCTGGTATCTGCAGCTAAGATTCCTACTGGGGTTTCAGTAAAATGTCAGACAGCTCATTAAAATATTCAGTATAATTAAAAAAATACAGTAAATATAAACACCCCCTATAGATTTTTGCTGTAATAGATATTGGGGATAGATATCAGCACTACAGTAGGCAGATAGTTAATCAGTGGCACACTGTGATGACAAAATACTTTTAAGATCAAAAGCATCCATGTATCTCAGATATGAGTCTGAGATGGAGTCAGACCTTCCCTGGTGTTCAAGGGTATTCAGATGCAGGGGTTTGGTTTGATCCTAATAGGACAGCTTCAGCACTGGACTCTGAATCTGCATCCAAACTCTTGTCCACAGAGTTCTGGTCTGGGCACATCCTATTACATATGCATCTTCGTTAGCCATCCCTTTATTCTTTGTTGTACAATTTTATTTCACAAGTGTCCCCTGCTCCTTGAAGGCTGATGTCTCAAGACATTCTGTACACACCAGGTTTGTACAGTGCATGTTCACATCGCACAGTGTTCAGTAAACAAAAGTGCACATGCAAAAAAATACATATTTGATAGTTGGTAGGCACTGAATAGACTAGGTCTGTATTGTTAGCCCTTGTCTTATAAGTACACATCATAGAAAAACAAGATACCTCAGTTCACATTGATCTACAGCAGTAAATTAGGCAGAACCAGAGTTCATCCTTGACCTGCATCAAGGGGACTTGATAGACTTATCTATTTGGAAATCTGGTACCTAAAACCCAGGATGTTTTGGCACCTGAAAGTCAAGCAAATCCTACTATGCAGAAACTTCATGGCTGTGTCTAGACTGGCAAGTTTTTCTGCAAAATCATCTGCTTTTGCGGAAAAACTTGCCAGCTGTCTACGCTGGCCGTTTGAATTTCCGCAAGAACACTGACGATCTCATGTAAGATTGTCAGTGTTCTTGCAGAAATACTGTGCTGCTCCCGTTCGGGCAAAAGCCCTCTTGCACAAATCATTTGCACAAGAGGGCCAGTGTAGACAGCATAGTACTGTTTTCCGCAAAAAAGCCCCGATCGCGAAAATGGCGATCGGGGCTTTTTTGCGGAAAACCGCGTCTATATTGGCCACAGACGCTTTTCCGCAAAAAGTGCTTTTGTGGAAAAGCATCCTGCCAATTTAGATGTGCTTTTCCAAAAATGCTTTTAATGGAAAACTTTTCCGTTAAAAGCATTTTCGGAAAATCATGCCAGTGTAGATGTAGCCCATGGGTGATGGAATAATGAGAGACTTCCAATATAACTCCAGATCTGCACTACAGGAACAGGTTGATCTAAACTATGCAATTTGTGTTACATTAGTAGTGTAACTCAGATCGATGGAGCTTAGATCTACTTACCGCAGAGTCTACTCCGAGCTGGTTAGACAGAAAAAAAACCTGCTGTCAACTCCGCTTACTCTTTTCATTCTGGTGGTATACCAGAATCAATGGGAGAGCGATCGGTGGTCAATTTATTGTGTCTATACCAGACACGATAAATTGACCTCTATGGAATCAATCACTGCCCCATCATTCCGGCCCATAGTGAAGACATGCTGGGTTTGAAAAGGAGGCAGCTAAAGCAAGGTTTGGAAGCACGTGATTTGGAAGTGTCTGGCTGAGTGACTACCTGTCTCTTATTTGGGATATTTTCCCATTCTTCAGTTCCTGAAATGCCTTAGGTTAGGACTGGGCCATAGAAGGCAAGGAGCACTCATCAGCTGAACTAGGAAGGAGGGGAAAAAGACAATAGTTTGAGTTTTACTTTGCTGCTGTTATGGTAGATGTACGTCGCTTGGGATACCAGAGCCACAGTCATCTAAAGGAGAAGGAACCTGAGATAAAGATGGTGGAGACCATCCATTGTCCTGGCTTTGTATTTGTCAAGGATAGATGGCACATACTATTGGGCAGTATAGATATTTTAGCAATGGAAACTGCCAAGTCAAACTCTCCCTTCTGGCTCAGAAATTCACCCTATTCTGCTAGGTCTCAGCTATTCAGCTGCATCCCCTGGAGTTCAGCATACAAAGATCCAGTCCTTCCTTGGCTGCTGATGCCTAGATAAAGCGAAGAGATTGGGTGGCCCTTGGAATCCCTGGGCAGTTGATGTGGGGGCCACTGAGAATGAATGTGTTAGGGCAAAACTCTGAAAGGAGGAATCAAAGGTGGTACCTGCACCCTGTTATGGCCTGGTGTGGTAACAGAGCATCACTGAACTTGGACTGGCACGGAGGTGACCTAGTTACATCCACGTGTTGTCTGCGGGTACAAAGGGTGCTTAGGCTTTTTTTGTCACCAGGACTACTCCCATTTATCACATTTCTCTCTCACTGGATGCTTAGGCAGATGCAACTGCTTTTAACAGGTGGACCAAGAATCAGGGGAATTTTGCCATTGATTTCCATGGGAACCAGCGTGGGCCTTTATGTAGTAAAACCTTCTTCTTTCAGAGTGTTGAATTCAACCCACCTCCCCCCCCCCGGTGATTAAAATGCGAAATGCATTTCCTGCAACCCATTTAAATATTTGTTCACAGAGGGGCCATTCCTGCCAAGCAAACAGCTCTCAGAATAGACAGAGCATGACAGGCAAAAACCTGTTAAAACGATATTAGATGACCCATCAAAATCAGCTGCAATAATGCATGTTGTTAGTCAACAGTCCAAGACAAGACGGCTTGGCTCACAGCAGGGGGAGACTCTACTTTCGAGCCAACCCCTCCTTTGACTCTCCAAGCAGCTGACTGTTTACTTCTACAGGAAACTCTAGTAACCAGGTCAATGTGTTGCTTAAAAATGAAGATTTTGGGCTGCTTCCACCAGGAGTAGGGATTTCACATGCAGCAGCCCTGTCTAGGAAAGTGAGCACAGGGTTAGGCGAAGGATCGTTAAATTCTATCCCTGGTTCTGAAATGGACTCTTTCTGTGGGCAAGCCACATCACTGCCTCAGTTTCCCCTCTGGCAAAATAACACCTGCTTGGCAGTGGTCGTTTAAGCCTTAATTAATACTTGAACAGTGCTTAGAACATGGAGGGATTGTTGTGTTTAAGTCTGGTCTAGAGCTGAAAACAATTACTTGCCATCACCAGGGAGCCAGTTTTGTGTGGATTTCGGTGTGTTTAAGAAGTTTCTTTCAAGACTGTTAACCAGGCCTGCCAACTGGGAGGAGGGGGAAATGGGGCAATTGCCCCACGGCTCAGTGAATCTAAAGGGCCCAGGGATCCCGGCCAGCGCTGCTGCTACTGCACCATTCAGGAGGAGCTGGGGAGCTGGCTGACCCAGCCCTCCCCTTCCTGGAGCAAGGAGCTGAGCTCCATCCTGGCAGCTCCCCTTCTGTTAACCATTTGTTTCAGAGTGTGACTGGGCCAAGACCGCAAAACTTGTCAGCAAGTGAATAGAGCAAAATCTATATACATTGTGGCCAAATTCCCCAGGGGAACGGTTTCATCAGCAAAACTCTCTGGGTGCCAGTGCAAACTGGGTAATTGCATGTCCTACATGCTAATTTATACATGCACACATTAAGGATGTAATAGTGTAGTCGATTAACTGATTAGCAAAAGGTTATCAGTTAATGCTATAGATTACTCGCATTTCTCCTCCCCCCAGCCTCATCAGTAAATTTTTTAGCAAGCTGGCCAACAGCCCGGCTCAGTCCCAGCTTGTGCCAGGTCCGGGATCTGGCCCTGCTGCGGCTCTGCATTTAAAGCGTATTAGGAGCCGGACGGGCAGGCAGCCCAGCTCAGTTCTGGCTTGCGCCGGTTCTGGGAGCTCAGACCCCTCTGGACAGGGGTTGCTGCCACCCTGTGCTGCTGCCGCTGGTCCATGAGGGGAGCTGGCTTTTAAACTGGCTGTCGGTCCCACCCCCAGGGACTATAGAATAGTCAAGTAACCGATAAGAATTCATTAGATTAGATTAATCGACTATTGAATTAACTGATATTTAACATCCCTAGCACGCATGAATTTTTGCTGGAATATCCATTGCCCTCCTTTGAAAAACTGACCTTTTGTCTGATTACCAGTGTTGTGAGTTTTTTTTCCCTCTTTTAGGGCCAGATCCAGAGCCCATTGGTGTTTTTCCACTGACATCAATGTGCGCTCGATCAAGACCTTAAAGAATATTCACATTTTCGCAACTGATGTTCAATGCCCTCTAACTTCCTATTGTGATCAGGGATGGGAATATGGCATGAAGACACAACAAACAAAAAAAACAAAACAAAACAAAAAATACACCCTACAGCTGAAATGCCCTGCTCTTCCTAGGTAGCATGTGCATTGCAAAACGTAACCTTACTTAACACTGGCCTAGCAATGGTGTAAATTGTAAATAGCAAATGTTTAGCTTGATTGTAAGAAATGTGTCTTCTAAAGTACATCTCAGGGAGCACTTCTCCTATAAAGAGTCACTAGATCCTTCTGCTTTCCTTTCTGTTTCTCTCTCGGTTCCTTATTCAGTTCTTTAATTTCCTGTAAGACTTGTGTTGCTTGCCGAAGCTGTTCTACTGCTTCATTGAGTATGGTCTTTGCATCTACTGGGGGACCATTCCCCTTCTGGGCTTGTTCTAACTCTCCACCTAAAACCTTTTGCAGAAGTTTCTCTGTCTTCTCCCTTTCGCAGGCCACTTTCGCCTCCATTTTAGCCAGGCAGGATTGGGGCGGCTTGTGGAAGCCTGGAACCTGAAGTGCTTTTTGTGCATTTTTCGATTCATCCAGCAGGTCTCCGAGAGAGGCACAGCGAGTTCTGAGAGGTAAGGAATTTACTATGGACTGTGATAAAAGTGTTTTCTCTTTACTAGGAACCTTTGTACTTTCTTGCTTCGCCTCTGTCTCTAAGGAAGTCTTTGTTTGTCCCTGTATTGTTTGTGGCTCCTTTTGCTTGTCAGCAGCTCTCTCACTTCCTTCTTCAACCTCTACATTTTGGGAAGCAGATTCTGTCGTTTCCCCATCTTCCATTCCAGCCCCAGGGAGGTCTGAATCACTGGGCTCCTCGCCTTCTGAACTCTTCGCCTCTGGACTGCCTGGGGTGGAATTCAAACCTGCTGTCAATTTTTCTGATAAAATCTTAGGTGGAATTGGAGGTTTCTCAGTAGCTATTGCGACCACATCCGTGAGGTTTTCTTTACTGTCATCCCTGGAAGGTTTCAATTCTTTTGTGCTTTCGGAGTGAGGGGTTGATTCCTCCCAGCTGACCCCTTTCAGCTTGTCTGATAAGATTTTAGGAGGTGGAATCGGAGCCTTTGCCGTGCTGCTATTGCTGACCTCCATGAGGTTCTCTTTATTGTCCTCAGCGGATGCTTTGTATTCTTCACCATCCTCACCCTGACTGACTGACCCCTTGTCCTCTGATGGCGTGTGCTCGTCCAGCTTCTTAGCTGGAGGCAACAAAGGCTTTTTAAGCTCTTGATCAGCAACGTTTTCCTCAGCATGCTGCTTCTCTGACAAGCCGCTAGGTTTTGTGGGCGGCATCGGTGGCTTTGGCGTTTCCTTCGGAGGCGGGATGTTCTCATTATCACTGACAGTCATGGTGAAGTCTGGAGGGCCATTATCCACTACGTCCAGATCCAGCCTCAAGATTCCATCGGAGGTAGATTTGGCAACCTAAGAAAAGTAATGTGAAAAAGACTGCTTCAGAATACGTCCCATTGTCAGTCCCCGGAACTGCCCCGGCCTGAAAACCAGTCTTGACAAATCGTTTAAATCGAGAAGTGGATAGAGGGGAGAAGCGGAGGGCTAGTCTACACTACTGTGCTACAGCGCTGCAGCTGTAGCGCCTCTGGTGGCGATGAGCTATGATGATGGGAGAGCACTCTCTCACTGGTATAATTACTCCACCTCAGTGAGAGGTGAAAGCTATGTCAGCAGCAGGGGAGCTGACAACCACGCCGGGCTGCTGGACAACAGGAGGGGGGCTGGCTCTGTGCTCCCCGAAGGGCAGGGCTATGGGTGGAAAGGGCGGGGCCAGAAGCAGCCAGCATGGAGTGTGTCATGTCACGTCATGTCAGCAAGGTGGCTTTTTCACACCCCTGAGCGATGTAATTACATCAATTTAAGGGGTAGCGTAGACAAGCCCTGAGTCCAGCATCTTGACTGCAAATCTTTCGTCCCACATGAAGGACAGTATGGACAAGTTCGTGCTCCTCAGGGCAGCTTTTACACATGAGACTGAACACGTCCGGTTTTTTCTCTCCTCTGCATCCCCACTTCTAACTCAGCTTAACACCTTGCAGGGCTTTATACTAGCCTACAATTCAGTACAAATGTACTTGTCACTGAGGGTATGTCTACACTTGCACCCTCTTTCGAGAAAGGGATGCAAAGGAAGACATTCAAAATTGCAAATGAAGCTGGGATTTAAATATCCTGTGCTTCATTTGCATACTCGCGTTATGGCGCTATTTGGAAATAGAGCTATTTCGAAATAAAAGACGCTGTTAAGACGCGGTTTTCGAGAGAAAACCCTTCTCTCAAAATAACCCTTATTCCTCAGACAATGAGGTTTACGAATTATTTTGAGAAGGGTTTTCTCTCAAAATAACCGTGTCTTAACAGGGTCTGTTATTTCGAAATAGCACAGGATATTTAAATCCCAGCTTCATTTGCAATTTTGAATGTCTTCATTTGCATCCCTCTCTCAAAAGAGGGTGCAAGTGTAGACATAGCCTGAGTTATTTTCTCTCCAGTAGTAGAGCGACAGTCAGGAAAGCATCAAAGACAATAACCACAAGAGTTCAAGAACTGGTCCAAAGCTGTCATGCGATCAATCTATCAAAAAGTCCTTCCTTTAGAAGTTATAATCACTGAGCTTTACGGTTCTGATGTGAATGGTTTTTGAACTGATAAATTCAAAGTTGAGACCAGATGGGTGAGTTCATATCTTTTACTGGACCAACTTCTGTTGGAGAGAAAGAGAGACAAGCTTTCGAGCTTGCTACACAGAGCTCCTCTATGTAAACAATCTTAGGGCTTGTCTCCACTATGCTGGGGATCAATGCTGTAGCGATCGATTCACCAGCCGTCTATTCATCATGTCTGCTTAGACACAATAAATTGATCTCCAAGCAAGAGAGACAAGCTTTCGAGCTTGCTACACAGAGCTCCTCTATGTAAACAATCTTAGGGCTTGTCTCCACTATGCTGGGGATCAATGCTGTAGCGATCGATTCACCAGCCGTCTATTCATCATGTCTGCTTAGACACAATAAATTGATCTCCAAGCATTCTCCCATCGACACAGGTACTTCATCAGGATGAGAAGAGTAGCCAGCATTGATGGGAGAGCAGCCTCCACTGACCTTACCACACACACGATGCCACGGTAAGTATGTCACAGCGTACGAGAAGTGATGTAGATTAGATCAATGGAAGGAGTTAGTATAGACAAGGCCTTACTATTAATGGGCCACTTCACCTGGAATGGTCCCTAAGAGCGTGTGCTAACTACTTATGTGAAATAATCCACTCCACCTTGTATATAGCTGTGACACTCTGGCTACATCTACACTGGCATGATTTTCTGGAAATGCTTTTAACGGAAAAGTTTTCCGTTAAAAGCATTTTCGGAAAAGAGCATCTAGATTGGCACGGACGCTTTTCCGCAAAAGCACTTTTTGCGGAAAAGCGTCCATGCCAATCTAGACGCGCTTTTGCGCAAAAAAGCCCCGATCGCCATTTTAGCCATCGGGGCTTTTTTGCACAAAACAGTACTGTGCTGTCTACATTGGCCCTCTTGCGCAAATGATTTGCGCAAGAGGGCTTTTGCCCGAACGGAAGCAGCACAGTATTTCCGCAAGAACACTGACAATCTTACATGAGATCGTCAGTGTCCTTGCGGAAATTCAAACGGCCAGTGTAGACACAGCCTCTAAGTATCTTTCTGAGGCCCAAAGAAGATCTCTGTGTAGCACAAACACTTGTCTGTCTCACCATCAGAAGTTAGTCCAATAAAAATTACCTCCCTCACTTTGTCTCTAACATCCCGGGAACTGACATGGCTAGAACACTGCATATAAACTAGAACTATGAAGACGGATCATCTTGTTCTGTCATGTCCTAGGAACAGCTGTTGAGGTACCCCGGAATATTTTATTCCCTTCAAGCTACAGCCCATCCACACACACATATAAGGATAGGTATGCCTATTTCTGCCCTTCTTCCCTAACTTTTTGCATTTCCTTAGACTGATAAAACATACAGTCTGTTAGTTCATCTATTGTATCCTTCAGTCAGAGGTGCTAATGTAACGTCCCTTACTTTTGGCAGCTTCCTTCACCCTCCTCATGTCATTTGTCTTAGCTGGGTTGTGCCTCAGCTAGCAAGTCCTTCACACCACAAGCTCCAAACAAAACTGCTCAGCCGCAGTGGCTGGCTTAGAAGGAATGGCCACTCAAAACTGCATTATTTTTATACTGAAGCCCACACTTTCCTTGGGCATTGTCTACACTAAGCATCTTGTAATGGCTGAGTCGCGACAGCTGTGTTGCTAAAAGTTGGGCAGGGGAGCTGCTGTGCCTCAGCAAAGCACTTCCACCCCCCAATGAGCGGTGCTAGCTCTGACAGACTCGTGTCTCTCGTCATCAACACTTTTGTCTTTCAGGGAGGTGTCGTTTTAAATCCTCCGAACAGCAAAAGTTTTGTTGTTCAGCTGCCAGTGTAGACACAGTTTCTTTCCATCCCAGAAGGAGCAATGAGGAGAGAGTCTCTCTGTGAGGGAGCCCTTGGGACAGACAATGTCTGAATGCCTTCAGGCTCAGGTTAGGTCTAGACTGCAACGTTTTTGCGGAAAAAGCTCTGCAAAGTGCGCTCTGCATTTTACAGAGCTTTTTCTGCTTTTTTTCCGGAAAAGCCTCCTCTTTCGGAGGAGCCCTTCTGCCTCGTGAAAGGAGGTATACAGGGCTCCCTGAAAGAGCACATTTGCTCTTCCGTGGAAAAAAAGCGGAAGAGCAAACGCATTCCTTGGACACGGTGGGGTTTTTGCGGGAAACCTCTGGTATCCCGCAAAAATCCCGTAGTCTAGACGTAGCCTGACACTCCCTCCATGCAAGGAGGCTGGCCTCCCTCCCACTTGAGTTCTTTCAAAAGACCTCTCTACCCCTGGGCAAATTTCACTCATGCCGCCAGACCCTCACTTCTCAGTATGTGCCCCAGGTCTCCTGTGTGAAACTAGCCCAAGAGATCTCCCTTCCTATTCCCTTCAGCGCTGTGTGGCCAGCCACTGTTCAGCAGTGCTGAAGCGCTCTGGCCTTCATTCAGCACCAACACCCGTTCCCATGACGTCTCAGACAAAATGGCTCTTTTCAGGCTTCTGGTTCAGCCTCATGACCTTACATTTCTGGGGAGTGAAATGTGTCAACACTTCCTTCACCAGCTAATTCACCAGGAATGTGATTGCCCAGCATGACTGCATGTGATTTCTCTTTCACGCAGCACCTATACATCTGCCCCTAATACTGATCCGTGTGGCATGTACCCGGGGTCTCTGTCCAAAATTACATCCACTCAGGTGTACCCTCTGCCTCCGATGCCCCCAGGAGACCTTCATTACGCTCTAAATATTGTCCCCTTCAAGAGGAGGGCACTAGCAAAAACAAGAGCTCCGATTTCAGGCACAGCTCACAAGGCATAAGGGGAATACTAGTGGATACAATTCCCAGAAATCTCCTGTGATCTTTGAGGGGGAGGGAGGGAATTTCTGGCTCTCCAGTGATTTCTGTGCATTTGACATAAAAACAGGCATAGTGGATCAGACCAAAGGTCCATCTACTCTAGTGTCTTGTCTTCCAAGAGTGGCCAATGCCAGATGCCCCCTGAGAGAATGAACAGAACAGGGAATCATCAAGTGATCCCTCCCCTGTCACTCATTCCCAGTTTCTGGCAAACAGAGGCTAGGGACGCTATTCCTGCTAATAGCCATTGATGGACCTATCCTCCATGAATTGATCTAGCTCTTTCTTGAACCCTGTTGAAGTCTTGGCCTTCACCATATGCTCTGGCAAGGAGTTCCACAGGTTACCTGTGTGTTGCATGAAGAAGTACTTCCTTTTGTTTGTTTTAAACCTGCTACCTATTAATTTAATTTGGTGACACCTAGTTCTTATTTTATGGGAACAAGTAAATAACTTTTCCTTAATCACTTTCTCCATACCAGTCATGATTTTATAGATCTCTATTATATCCCCTCCTTGGTCTCCTCTTTTCTCTTATTAAAGATTATCCAGTGGATGCTGCAGGATTTCTGTGCATGAAAGTAAAAAGCACTGAAGCATTTTGTCTGCACTAAGATCATTGAGAGCTGCGCAGAAGGTCAGAGTCAGCAAGTTATGATATTTGCAGAAAGAGGTTTAGCCTTAAACCCATTCATTAAAATATCAATACTTCTTCAGTGCAGAAGTTCCCTGAGAATTCATAGGATCCTAATATTTTATTAGCAGTTCTTATATGAGAGAACTTTGGGCACATATGTTTGTTTTACATGCTAGCTACAGAAAAGCCACTGAGAATTGAGAATAGGCAGGTTGTTCTATAAAACCATCATAGAAAAAAAAACAGTTATAACCAATCTTCCCTCTATCTTTTCCATCCATGGGTGGGTTTTTACCATCCTTGTGTAAAATAATTTTTTCTGTGTGCACTGAGGCATGTGCAAATGTGCACCACTGGTAAAAACAAAACCTAGCTGTGGCACTCTGCTAATCAGCTGGGTGGCATCGGAATCTCTCCCAAGCAGCTGTACAAGCACTCAGCTTACAGGGAACTCTGGGTATAACCCATGCTCAGCACTTCGTTATTTGCTTGGTTTTTAATTAAGCAGTAATGGCACTGGCAAAACAAGGAAGCAGCTCAAGAACTACCGAAAGGCTCAACAACTATATCACAATATGTTAGAACATAAGAATGGCCGTACTGGGTCAGACCAAAGGTCCATCTAGCCTAGTAGCCTGTCTGCCGACAGTGGCCAGCACCAGGTGCCCCAGAGTGGGTGGACCGAAGACAATGATCAAGCGATTTGTCTCCTGCCATCCTTCTCCAGCTTCTGACAAAGGGTATGTCTACACTACCCTCCTAGTTCGAACTAGCGGGGTAATGTAGGCATACCGCACTTGCAAATGAAGCCCGGGATTTGAATTTCCCGGGCTTCATTAGCATAAGCGGGGAGCCGCCATTTTTAAAACCCCGC